GATATTTTTCCATTTGTTTGTGTCATCTTCAGCTTCTTTCATCAGCATTTTATAGTTTTCAGAGTATAGGTCTTTTACCCTGGGTACACTTATTCCTAGGTTTTTTATTCTTTTTGGTGCAGTTGTAAATGGTATTGTTTTTAAATTCCCTTTCTGGGGGCGCCTGGGTGGCGCAGTCGGTTAAGCGTCCGACTTCAGCCAGGTCACGATCTCGCGGTCCGTGAGTTCGAGCCCCGCATCAGGCTCTGGGCTGATGGCTCGGAGCCTGGAGCCTGTTTCCGATTCTGTGTCTCCCTCTCTCTCTGCCCCTCCCCCGTTCATGCTCTGTCTCTCTCTGTCCCAAAAATAAAAAAACGTTGAAAAAAAAATTTAAAAAAAAATAAATAAATAAATAAATTCCCTTTCTGCTACTCCTTTATTCATGTATAAAAATGCAACAGATTTCTGTATATTTATGTTATATTCTGTGACTTTACTGAATTTATTTATCAGATCTAATAGGTTTTTTTGTGGAATCTTTAGGATTTTCTATATAAAATATCATGTCACGTGCAAGTAGTGACAGTTTAACTTCTTTACCAGTACGGATGCCTCCTATTTGTTTTCTTGTGGGACTCCTGCAGCTAAATCAGTATTATTTTCTTTTTTTAAAAAATTTTTAAACGTTTTATTTATTTTTGAGACAGGGAGAGACAAAGCATGAACAGGGGAGGGTCAGAGAGAGGGAGACACAGAATCTGAAACAGGCTCCAGGCTCCAAGCTGTCAGCACAGAGCCTGACGCGGGGCTCGAACTCACAGACTGCGAGATCACGACCTGAGCTGAAGTCGGCCGCTTAACCGACTCAGCCACCCAGGCGCCCCTAAATCAGTATTATTTTCAATGAAACATTCATGTAGGCCATCTAAAATGAATATGGGTCACAATATTCTTTCGCAGGAGCAGAGTAGAATGGCAGTTGCCAGGGGCTGGAGAGTGGAGAAAATAGGGAAGTGTTGGTCAAAGGGTATAAACTTTCAGTTATGCGATAAATTCTGGGGATATAATGTACAGCATGGTGACTATATGTGAGATGATAGATATGTTAATTACCTTTATTATGGTAATCATTTCACATATTCTATGCATATCAAATCATTACATTGTACACCTTAAATGTTTACAATTTTTATTTGTCATTTATACCTCAATAAAGATTGGAAAAAAGTGATTAACATGTGAAAGCTCATTGTTAGAATAAGATAATTAAAAGTAGGACCTGAGAAGCCATAAAGTTTTTGGATTGATCTCCTAATAGTTTCCTATAATATTATCTTGGGATGAACATTGTTTTGGAACATGACATAGTTACAAAAATACTCTCACAAATAGTTATCATCCTTTGTTAGGGGATGGTTATTTAATTTATGTTATCTTTATCTGAGATAATAATTGAGGTTAAGTTGTTTAAAATAGTGATCATCTTATTCACAAATCAGGTGAATTCCCCTGGAATTGAGACACTAACACATTTATTTCTACATAACATCTAGTAAATAAAGGAATCTTCCATAACCATATGTGGTCAGTGGCCAAACCTCACAGGAGAGTGAGATTAGAACAGATGTCTTTTTCAGTGAAATAGCCAGTTAAGCTATTTCTCTGCTCATTTGCCTGGACTTTTGTCTGAATAAACCATATAGAAAGTTTAACTTGGTTTCTTATAGATACAGCCTGCTTCCTGAATTTTATCTTCCTTTTGTCTCATCCAGATGACAGCAGTCAGTGAAAAAGTATGAGTCTCTAAAGTGGCAGGTTTAAAAAAAGATAATAAAAAAAAACTGGTGTATTATGTCATTGTGGGTTCATATGCTACTGCAGATATCAAATAGTTCTTAAAAGTACTACTGAGTTTTCAAACTGTTAGCTTTTATTAATGTGCACACAGTATTAGTGAGGCTCTGTGGACTCTGGAAAAGAATAGAACACATCAGCCTTTCCCCAAAGAGCTTATATCGGGGGAAAAGACACTCAAGACAACTAGAGAAAAATACCTAATTATTATATACACTTAGGAAATGACCAGGGCACTACATAAAATTAAGTATTCTATGATGAAGATTATGCATCTACATGTATTTAAAACTAGAAATCCTAAAGGAGTGGCTGGCTGGCAGCCAGCCCACATTGTCCTAGTCAGCAGCACAGCGTAGATGCCACATTCCCCAGCACCAGGCAGTGTTCACTGAGTGCAGGGCTATAAATAGGAAACGACAGACAGTTTACAGTACATATGAGACTTTAGCAAGAACCTACTGATGAAATAAGTGAACAGAAGCATATGTAAATACAGCATGAACATTATGTATAAACAACAGAGCAGATACACCTTGTGGATGGAAATTGAGGGAGAAACCTCTCCATTTATAGAAAGGCGGGAGGGTGTGGCAGAATCTGAGCTTTCGTTTCAGAGACACTGAAATTTGAAAACATTCAAATCCTGGCTTTCCCACTCTGGAACCGGGTGCATTATCTAACTTCTGTAAATCTCATTTCTCCACATCTACTTGAAGCTACTAACTTAGGCAACTGTTGCTAGTATTAATTCTGCTAAAACTAGTTAACATCCCACCATGTTGCTGGTATGTCTGTCTTCCATAGACCGTGAGCTGTGCACAAAAGGGATTGTGTCTTAATGGTCTTGGTACTTGGAACCAGTAAACTGGAGAAGTGCTCTTGCTCCTCTATTAGCCGAGGAAAATTCCGTGAACCAATAGGAGGTTCAGAAGCTGCCTGAGCACCAAAAACGGAGAGAATTCGTGAGAGGGGTGAGAGCATTCCAGGCACAGGCAATAGCTTCAGCGTAGCTCTGAAGCGAAACAGGAGGTGGGGTGGGGGTTTGAAGGAGGAGAGAGTCTGAGGCACAGGCAGGAAAAAGCCAGCTGGGTGTTTTCAGGCTTCATGCTGTGTGCAGGTAAGCACAGAGGAAGAAGAGGAGCCTCCAGACGGAGTTCTTGGCAATTCGAATGGGCAGTGCTGGGGCCTGGAAGCCCAGAGGTGCAGCAGCTGAAGCTAGGGGGGTGGCATGGAGTAGTCAGGAAGTACTTTTGGGGCAGGGGAACAGAGACAGAGAGCACTGCAATTCCCGGAGGGAGTTGAAGGAAAAGCCACTGCATTGCCATGGATTGCAAGCAGCCTTAGTCACTTTAACAACAAGACACACACACACATACACACACAGTAATACAATACAGAAGCTATGTATTGGTTGAGGTTAATATAGTGGTTAAGGTTGTCCTGGAGCTGATCCTGGACCAGCTTGGGTCACCTGAAGCCTTCCAGCCATGTGACCTTAGCAGAATGATTTAAACCTCTCTGAATCTCTGTGCCCCTCTTGAGTAAAATGCGGATGGGTCTCTGTTCCTGAGGGTTACTGCGGTTGCAAAGCCAATTAGTACCTGTAGAAACTTAGTATTTTCTCTGATGGCTAATGAATTTAAAGGAAAAAGATGTCGAGAGTAGAGCAAAGATTTTATGTTCAGAGGGTGGACTTCATTTGCTTTTTATGTTTTCTACTGGTTCGGGACTCACGCTCCTTATATTATGCTGAATTTGCTGTTTATTGGGAGAATTATTTCAAGTTGGGTCCTAGGTCCTTAATTTTAGTTGGCAACAGGCAAGAAAAATGTCCTGTTGACACCTCCAGGTTTTAACAGGTCTGCCAGCAAATACATACCCAACACCTGCTGTCCTGGGTCCTCCCCCCTGACTTCAAAAGGCAGCCTCCGGGCTCAAAACCTTACACCCAATTTTAAGTCCTCTCCCCAACCCCCATATCAAATTCAAAATCAGGTCTCATTCCTTCTTTCATTGTAATGCCTCGTAGATTCAATTCTTCTCAATTTCCACCTTTTCCTTTCTCATCCTCCCCCCACTCCCTTTTCCCTTTCAACAGTCTTGAATCTCCCATCTCTGTTTTCAACCCAGTGCCAAATTAATGATCAACCCATTCGTCAGGATACCACTTAATCTCCCTTTGTCAAGAACTCTCAATGGTTGTCCTGGGAGTGTTAGAGTGAGTTCACATTCCTAGGTTTGGTATTAAGCCTTCCTCCCAAATTCTCAACTTCCCTTTTCCAAATTCTCAACTGGGGGATGGCGCCTTGAATCCACTCGCGGCTCCACGTTCCAGAACGTCCCTTCCCCAGCCTCCTGATGAAATTTCATCCCTTCCAGAAGACCTGGTTTGTTCCCACCCCCCAATCCCCCCAGGAAGCTCTCCTTGGGCAATTATTCCGGCCCTACTGCCCTTTATCACTTGGGGACCCCACCCACCCGACCACTGAATTATTTTATACACTCGTGAGTTTGTCTCGCGGGTAGGACCCCATGTTTGGCCGAACGTCCACATCACCAGGCAAAGGATCCCGCCCGCACTCAATAACGCTGAAAATCTGGATGGATGTGTTCAGGAACATGCTCCTGGTCCAGTCCCTGCTTGCTAATTCCCAGCACCTACCCCCTCCTCTAACTGGGGCGTGACCCGGTGAGTCCGACCTCCGGACGCCCCCGAGCAGCCCTGGGTTGGGCTGTGTTCCTGAATCCAGAGCGTTTCCACGTAGCCCGCCCTCCCACTTAGCCCTGACCCGGGGACAGTGGTGCAAAGTCCCAAGCTCTGCTCTTCGGAGGCAACCGGGCTGGTTTCAGGAACCTCGGGCCACCAGCGCCCAAGACCTCGCAGGGGTCGAGGGTGAAGCTGCCGGAACCGCCGGGGGGTTTCGGTGTCGCCCCTCGCCCACGCCCTCCCCCTCGCGGCCATTGGGCAGCCTCTGCGGCGCGCCCTGTGGACGGGGCGGGGCCCTCTCCCTCTCCCCTGTTCCCCTCCCCTATTTCCAGGGGTGGGATCGCCGGGAGGCAGGCGGGAGGCGTGGAGGGGCTGCGGAGGGGCGTCCGGTTACGTCGCCGCCTTCCTCGGCCGTGTCCGCCGAGCCGCTAGGTTTGCGGGACCGCAGTTCGGGAACATGCTGGCCGCGATCCGCCGGAGCGGGGCTGCGTGGACGCGGGCGCTGCTGCTGCAGCTGCTCCTGGCGGGGCCCGGGGGCTGCCTGAGCCGCCAGGAACTCTTTCCGTTCGGCCCGGGACACGGGGACCTGGAGCTGGAGGCTGGGGATGACCAAGTCTCCCCAGCCCTGGAGCTGAGGCGGGCGCTCCGCTTCTTCGACAAATCCGACATCAACTCGGTCTACGTGAGTGCGACCCGGGGCAGGCGGTGGGGGCCGTCGGGGAGGAGGGCGTGGGGGCCGAGCCGGGGTCGGAAGGAAGGCCGAGGCTGGCAGGGTCGCCCGCGGGGCCGGACGGACGTGGGCGTCGTGGGCGGGGACCGGGACCCGCTGGGCGCGGGGGCGCGGGCGCGCGGGGCGCGGCGCTGGGTCTCCTGGCCTCCCGCCCCCGCCGGGCCCGCCGACGTCTCTGCGCCGCCTGGCCACTGTCGCCAGAGGAGCACGCGGGACTGGGGGGCTCGTCCCGTCTGCGCGGCCCCGCGCGCGCCCTCCCGACCCCGGGACCCCGGGACCCCGGGCGGAGTTTCCTCTCCGGCGGCTGTGGGCGGCATCGCCGCCGGGAAGTCGGTCCGCGTCTCGCTATTGTCCTGTTCCCTTGGGGACGGGACCCGGTCCGATGGGACTCGGGCAAAGGCGAGAGCTGGGTCGCAGGCGGCGCGCGGGCCCTGGGACTTCCGTAGGTGCCGGGTCAGGAAAAGACCGCCAAACCCGGCCTCTGCCCCGGGAATTTAGCCGACAGCCTGCATGTGTGAGTGTGGACTCCGGATACGTCTTGGCAATGTTTCTGCTCTCCAGTTGAGCTCGTTTCAGTCCAGAGTTTAGCGCTGGGAAAGCAGGGCGACCCGATGATCCAGTTTCCTGTGGCAGAGCACTGTCACCATGGGGGGCCCCAAAGGGGGAGCGGGCCCAGGTGGCCTTTAGTTCTCTGGAGCCTTCTCAGAACTGGCCGGGCCCGGGGACGCTGTCAACTTGGTAAAGTCCTTCCGTGCCGCCGCCTTCCCCAGCCGCGCACCATGTGGATTTCATATAAAGCTGTGCGCATTCCACAAGTGGGGGGAACAGCGCAAACAGCGGCGGGAGCCTGTCCTGCCCTTGAAATGGCTGTGCTCGTCGCCTGGCCGGGGCAGACCGTGCCTTGGACAACACCCACGTGGAGCTTGTCTGCTTTGCCTAAAAAGAAGGAGTCTTTCAAGTCCACCCACAGAGAGTGCTGCCCTTGTTGGCTGACCTCCGTGGGCCGTCTGGTGAGGCCTGTCGGACCCCTTCTTAGAATAAGATTTTTTAATTACATAGAGTAACATCCGCAGGATTGCCAAGGAAATCAGTTGTGTTCAAATACAGATACAAATATTAGAAATTGTATGAAGTAACGTGTGTATTTTTAGCCATTTTAAATATAAGGTATAAGAGTGGCGGGGGGAGGAGGGTCAGGTAATTACTGAACTTTCAAGATCATGAGGACTGTGAACAGTGTTTGAAGACACCTACAGTGACTAAAACGTGAAATGGGAATATCAGTGACTCCTATTGGTGGCAAGGTCATTAAGAGTTCCTACTACCATTTGTTGCCTGCATTCATAATGGAAGGAAATGCTAAAATATCGCTTAGGAGTTATTGAAAATAAAAATAAAATTTCTCTTTTTCCCTTCTTAACAGACACACCGAATTCTCTTCATGAGCCCCAAGTTCAGAACCCCTGTGTTAAATTTGAGACCTCCTGCCCTCCTTTACTTGTGGCATCAGACTAACCACATTACATTCTAAAGACCTAGAAAATCTATTGCTGAAAAAACGATTCCTGTCAAGCCATACCCTCCAGGTCTATTTGGGTTTACTCTGCACTTCAGGGAGAAAGAATCCCGGAGCTCTCTTGGTTGTATCTGCACCCCCCCCCGCCCCTCCCCCAAGGGTTCCCAGGAAGCTGTGAAATGGAGATTAGCCAGCAGGTTATTTCTTGGGGGAGGGCTCCTCACTTCCACACTTATGGAGGCAGGGAGGTGAAGAACTGAGCAGAGGCTGAGCCGCCAGCAAAGGTCTCAGCCAGCTCCCTGGGAGCTCTGGAGGTGGGGTGTCTCGAGCTGTCTCCAGTGTGCCTGAGAGGGCTCGGTCTCTGTGCCCTTGCAGCCATCAGTCACGGGTAAGGGCTGCCTTGGAAGGAAGCGTGATCCTGGGCCAAGCAGTTTTTCAATGGAGGCAATCCTCAAAGAGGGCCCACGTTGGAGGGCTGCGTTCCCAGGACTCGAGGGGCATCTACTGTGTGATGGCCCTGAATAAAAGGTGGACGGACAGGGATGTGTGTCTGAGCTAGAGGGTCTGCACGGTCCTGGGCACTTGGCTAGGAATATGAACATTCACTGAGAAGGAAAAGTATTGGGTGAGTATAACCACATGTGTCAGAGGACCTGCTAGTTTTATGTTATTTAATCCTCAAAACAGCTCCTCCTTCTTTTCAGATGAAGAAATAATAATAAACACTGGTCCCAGAATTCCAAAATCCTACCACATGTTTCCACCCAAATGCCCATCTGTCACTTCAGATTCCACGTGGCAAAGTGAAAATCACTCACCTCCCTCCTCCCCTCGGATACTTTTACTACTTGCGTTTCCTTGTTCATAGTACCTTATGCGGGTTCTTCACTGTTTTGAGGCTGCCTTACCCCTTCCTTTTATTCATTTATTCCACAGATACCTTCCAAGTGCCTACTATGTACCAGGCACTATTTAGGGCACTCAAAATACAAGTGAACAAAACAATCCTATCTTCAGGGAGTTTACATTCTAGCAGGGGAGTGGGACCAAGAAAACAAACAGCAAACATAGTAAGTAAATTATATATCAGGAGGTGATTTACTACCTAATGTAAAGGGTCTGGGATGGAGTAGGTATATGAATCAGGAATTTAGAAGAGAAGCCTAGGCTTTAGGTATAAATTGGGAATCATTGGCACATAGATGGTATTTAAAACAGAACTAAAGTGACCCCTGCAGGGGAGTATATGCAAATAGAGAAGAGGTCCAAGGGAGCCTCCATTGGTCAGGGAAAAGAGGAGGAGTCAGCCGTGGAGACTGACAGGATGTGGCCAGTGAGTTGAGAGGAAATGAAAAGGAAGTGGAGTCCTGGAAGCCAAATGAGGAGTGTCTCAAGGAGGAGGGAGTGAACCACCAAGGTTAAATGGGCACAAAAGGTGAGGACTGAAGAGTTGCCCATTGGCTTGAGTAACCCGGTGATCAGTTCCCCATTTCATCTTCACAGAAGGCCCTTGCTTCTGTATCTTTCTTGTCCTGTTGCAGTGACGCTTTCCAACAGTGTTGTTTCTTTCTTTTCTTTTTCTTTTTTTTTTTTTTTTGAGAGAGAGAAGGGGCTTGGGAGCACTTGTGCACTCAAGCGAGGGAGGGGCAGAGAGAGAGAGGGAGAGAATCCCAAGCAGGCTTCATGCTGTCAGCCAGAGCCCTACGAGGAGCTCAACCTCACCAGTTGTGAGATCAGGACCTGAGCTAAAGTCAAGAGTCGGAAACTCAACCGAGTGAGTCACCCAGGTGCCCTGATGTTCAATTTCTTTAGTGCCCTCCCTCCATCCTGACTTCAGAGGACCCTGGACTCCTTGGCCTGGATTCAGGGCCTCATCCTACCATTCTAGCTTCATTTCCAGCTTTGCCTTAACACTTCTAAGACAGTAGAATATGTCTCACTTTGGCCCTTTACTCATTCTTTCATTCTTCCACTTTCTCCATCTCTTAACCTCTCAGATTCTCTCTCATTCTCTAGGCCCTTCCTCCTTCCTAACTGACCGGTACTTGTGGACTGCATGCACCCCTCAGTCCTTAGAACTCTTCTGTAACTCCAATATTGTCTGGTTTGGAGCTTAGCATATTGATAAATGTTTACATAACTTAATCTGTTCAACGGGAGTATCAGTAGGTAATGCGGAAAGAGGGGGGTCTCTGGAGCCCAATACGTGTGGGCTTGAATCTCTGTTCTACCACTTACTTATTGTGGACCCTGGGTAAGTTATCCAACCTCTGAAAGCCTTATTTTGTTCATCTGCAAAATGGAAACATCATTGCCTTTCTCATGGAGTTGTGAACAATTCACTGAATTAATGTATTTAGACAGCTTATCATGTAGTAATGTGCTCTAAAACTGCGGGCTTTCTTCTTCATTGAGAGCAGAGATTGTGTCTTTTTTGAAAAAGCCCCAAACCTTTATTCTACACTTGATTCTGTAGTACTTTGGTGCTATACAGTTGATGTAACTTTTGAGAAAAGATGTCTCATCTGTAACAAGCTGATGCTAGCTTTATCAAAGGCATCTACAAAAATATGCCCCTGTGCTTTTACACATAACCAATCATCAAATCTGTCAAGGTGAAAACTCCCTGGTATTTCTTAATGCGTTGGGAAATACAGCAAGGCAGGAGAAAGCATTCCATCCAAATAGTATTTAAGCTTTCTGGCCATACACAGCTTTCTTAGAGTAATTGAAGTGCAACTTATCTATATAAACACACAACACATTTCAGAAGCAAGTGAAATTAACAGAAGCACCTGTTCTTTAAATTACTCTTGATCAGGAGCCAGGCTGTGATAGCGCATCCTGTTCCCTGGGAAGCAACCTACCTATCTGCAGAACCTACCTGACCTTGTGGTGGTTGCATGTGGGCATTAAGGCCAGCTTCATGGGTCATGTCTTGCAGCCGCATATGGACTTGGTTTTGCAGTATTGTTAGGGTAGTGGTGCTACTCCTGTGCCTACCATTTGCTGCATAGAAACATCCAGCATTGCACATTGGTGTTGGCGTTGGTCCATCAGGGCGGAAATCTTGTCAAGGTTCATACCCCTCGGTTAGCATCCACTTAACCAGATGGCCACGGCCTCTGTTCTCTTGCCCATTGTTCCTGCAGTTTGAACGCTTGCACCCACCGCATTAACCTTAGCACTCCTGCTCGAGAAATTAATTGCTTGGTTCTTTTGGCGGATTTCATTTTCAGTGTGTGTTCTCAAAACATTTGTGCTGCTCTTCTGAATGGGTTTTTTTTTTTTTTTTTTTTTTTTTTTTTTAGTTTATTTTGAGAGAGAGAGAGAGAGAGAGAGAGAGCGCGAGCGTGCAGGCACACGCAGGGAGAGGAGAAGGGGGAGGGGCAGAGAGAGAGAATCCCAAGGAAGCTCCACACTGTCAGTGCAGAGC